ATGGGACACAGGGGGCTACACATGGGACACAGGGGGCTACACGCGGAGCACACGGGCCACAGGGGGGCCGCACATGGGACACAGGGGGCTACACACGGGGCACACGGGCCACAGGGGGGCTGCACATGGGACACAGAGGGCTACACGTGGAGCACACGGGCCACAGGGGGGCCGCACATGGGACACAGGGGGCTACACACGGGGCACACGGGCCACAGGGGGGCCGCACATGGGACAGCACACAGGCCATAGGGGGGCCGCACATGGGACACAGGTGGCTACACACGGGGCTGCACATGGGACACACGGGACACAGGAGGCTGCACAAGGGATACAGGGGGGCGCACACTGGACCTCCCTAAAGGCCCCCACCCCAGCTGCATGGCCGAGCCCCCGTCTCCCCTGATCAGTCAACACACGCACCCTGAACTGACGCTCCAGAGAAAAAGAAATTCTGGATCTGAATCACGGCAGTTCAGCTGACACAGAATCACATCAAACACCCCATCCAGCAGGGAACCCCCACCCAGCGCTTGAAGGGTAACAGCTCGTGCAACAGGGAAGCCGCTGGTGTCGTCATGCAGGGGGGAGGGCGAGACGAGTCGCTCGATCAAGGCAAGGCAGAGGGGTACCGGGGGCACGCATTGCCCCTGGGGAGCTGCTACAGCGAGTCACGAGTCAGCTGGATATTCCCTGTGGCGGAAAAAACACTTCTTCCCTCATCCTGGAAAAAACACCCCAGAACAACCCTCACCGCACGCCGAGGCGTCGGGGGCAGGAGCCGCGATCTGGAGCCGCAAAAACGCCCACGGAGAGCTCACCCTAAATAAACCCCGAAAGACTAGTCCCAGCGGGAGTGCTCGCCTGCTTTTATTTTTCTAGATCGCTCCTAAATCCCAGACGGGGCTGGGCTCTCTCACGCGGAGCAGGGGTGACTGGCAGATGGGAGGCCGAACCCCGGAATGTGTGTGGCAGTGGGTGCCCCCCAGCAGAGCCCTTCAGGTGGGCCAAGCGTCTCTCAGCTCCGTCCGTCTGTGTCCCCCCCAAACCCCCCCCCCCACACTCCTTGCCACTCCCTCTGCCCACCCCTAGAGGGCGACACCTGACCCACACCCTGACCTGGGGGTTTAATCACCTCTGCAACCAAGCCGATGGCCCCAACTCGGGCCAGAGACACAGGGGGGCCCCCCTGAGCTGTGCCTACAGCCCGCGCCCACCGCTCCCCAGTCTCCCCAGCTCCTTCCCTCGCTGACAGCCGGAGTCAAATCGTCCTGCGTTAAATTTTAATGGGCAGCGATTAAACTTTCACTTTCCGTGAAGCGGGCAGAGATGGAGAGAGAGGCCGCGAGCGAGGACGGCAGAGGAGTGATGAGAAAGAGGAGGATGAGGAAGAGGAAGAGCTGGGGAAGGTCGGAAAGGCGAAACTCCAGCAGTGCTGCTAGAAACCCTGCCTGCTCATCCTGAGCCACAAGCGAGAGCACAGGAATGGCTTTATCCCGGGTCTGGCCTGGGCCAAATGAGCAAAGAATCCCCTCAGTAACTCTCCGGCCAAAACATCAGGAAGTCTCCACCCCAGCAGCCACAGGCACTTAGCAGTGTGGACAAGCTGGGCGGTCAGCTTGAGGTCACCGTGAAGCTCACGGCCTGCAGCACTGTGGACAGTGTGGGCGGTCAGTCTGCGGTCACCGTGAAGCTCACGGCCTGCGCCAGTGTGGACAGTGTGGGCGGTCAGTCTGCGGTCACTGTGAAGCTCACGGCCTGCACCAGTGTGGACAGTGTGGGCGGTCAGTCTGCGGTCACCCTGAAGCTCACGGCCTGCAGCACTGTGGACAGTGTGGACGGTCAGTCTGCGGTCACCGTGAAGCTCACGGCCTGCGCCAGTGTGGACAGTGTGGGCGGTCAGTCTGCGGTCACTGTGAAGC